CTGAGCTAACATCCATTGCCAGGCCTCCTCTTTTTGCTGAGGAAGATTAGCTCTGAGCTAACATCTGTGCCCATCTTCCTCTATTTTGTATATGGGTTGCTGCCACAGTATGGCTTGATGAGCAGTGCGTCGGTCCACACCCGGGATCTGGGCCACTGAAGCACAGTGCGCGAACTTAACCACTATGCTGGCCCCCCATTATATTTTTGAGACCTTATTATTCTTCAGGCAGAATCAAATCACTAAATATCTATTGAGCATCTGCCTTGCAAAGGTTGCTGTAATAAGGGCTGTGGGTGGAATAAAGATGATTAAGGTATAATTCTTCTTAAGGGTTTTTAAAGTTTAAAAAAAAGTACTTAGATATGCGTGCATTATAGTGTGAAAATACAAAGGAGAGAGGAATTATATCTGGTTTGTCTTTATCAGGAAAGCCTATTTGGAGTATTTGGTGGTTGAGGTTAGCTTTAAATAATGAGTAGCAATTTTGTTAAAAGTAAGATTGAGAGGGTGAGTATCACTAGTAGAATGAATAGCATAAGCAAAGTTAGAGGGATAGGAAAGGGAAAGGTGTGTGTGGAGGAGCTGGGACCTGTGAGTAGTCCAGTTTGGCTGGAACTGGGCATATGTGTGAGGGAGTGGTAAGAAGCAGGACTGTAAAATTAGTTGTAGACCTTATTGTAGAGAGCCTCAAATGTCTAAAGAATTTGTGCATAGTTCAGTAAACAGTGGAGAGCCATTTAAACATTGCTTCTCAACCTTGGCTGCACAGGGAATCATCTGGGGAGCACCTCCCCAGGCATCAGTGTTTATTTTTATGCTCCCCAAGTGTTTTCCATAACCAGGGTTGAGAAGCACTGCAATTATGGCTTTAGAGAAAGAAAATAATGTGATTATTAGCATTGTGTAGAACTATGTGGGATAGAAACGGGAGACCAGCATACCGTTTGGGAGGCTAGTGCCAATCATAAATAATAAAATGAACCTAAATTATAATGTCAGTTGAAAAAAGGAAGAGATCAGTTTTAAAACATTTGACTTCACAAGTGTTTTAAAAGTAACACGTGAGGTTAGGATTAAATATTACTCTTATGTTTTAAACCCAAATAACAGGATTAGTAGTGCCATTAGTGGAAACAAGAAGAGATTGAGGAAATCTGGATTTCTGATAAAACAAAATGAGTTTTTTTGTGTGTGTTTAAGATGAGAGCAGAGATAAGCTGGTGGTGATAACATGAAATAAAATGAACATTCGGATTTGGAGAATAGTAGGGATTAGAGACAAATATCTGATTTACTTGTGTGGAGCTCATAATTGATACCTGGTTGTCAATGAAATTCCCCAGATGAGAGAGCGAGATGAGACAACATAAAATAGTCTTCTATTTCTTTAGTCCTAATTAGGTTCCATGCTAAACAGTTGACACACATTATCATTTATCTTTAGTCATGTGAGGAAACTGAGTTTCAGAGAAGTTGGTTAACTTACCCAGGATCATTGAAGTGATGTTAGAAAGTCTGTCTATGGACATGGAAAGATGTTCACAATATATTCTCAAGTGAACACAACAATAGCAACAGGTTGTAAAATAGTGTGAAAATTATCATCTAATTTTATAGCTAATCTGTATTTGTCTTTCCCATTTCCAGATATGCGAGTCACTTTACATGCATCTTCTCAATAAACTTGAAAAACAATCGTGTGACATAGGTTCTATGATTATCCCTTCTCAACAAATAATCAAACTGAGGCTTAGAGAAGAAGGTTAGTTAACTTGTCCATGTCACACAACTAGTAAGTGTCAAAATCAGAAACAGAAAGAACACAAGCAAGAAAGGTTGTGAATGATGACTTAAGGTACCTGGACTGTGGATAGGACAGTATCTAGAGAACCAGTTCAAGGCGTATTGATTTTTTATATTCTCTTTCAGGATCTAAAGCGATTCCTGTATAAAAAATTACCAAGGTAAAAAATTACTAATTTGTTATTAAATAAATTCTGCATAACATATGTTGATTTTATGTAGTATTTTGTTTCTGTTTATTTTAGACTAATATTATGTGTATATTATGTTATTATTTAGCACTTTCAAATACCTAACATAACTCTAGGTAGCACAAGAGATGTCCATTGAATTTGCAGGTAAGTAACATGAGGCCTAGAGAAGTTATGTGATTTGTCTAAGGTTAAACAGCTAGTGAATGCCAGAGGGGTAGAGCTCAGATTTCTTGCCAATTTTAGAGTTCTTTCAAATATACTATCATAGGGCCGGCTCCGTGGCTTAGCGGTTGGGTGCGTGCGCTCCGCTGCCGGCGGCCCGGGTTCGGATCCCGGGTGCGCACCGAGGCACCGCTCCTCCGGCCGTGCTGAGGCCGCGTCCCACATGCAGCAACTAGAAGGATGTGCAGCTATGACAGGCAACTATGTACTGGGGCTTTGGGGGAAAAATAAATAAATAAAATATTTTAAAAAATATATATATATATATATATACTATCATAGCAGTTTACTGGATTATACTTTGAAGTAGAGTAATTGTAAGGGAAAAACCTTAAGAACTTGCCTTTACTTTTAATATTGATTTTAAGACCTAATTGCCGAGTCTTTGTAACCCGAAAATCCTAGACTTAGACAGCAGTTCATACTTGGAAAAATCGCAAGGCTTTCTTTTGCCTGCGTACAGTCCATTTGATGCACCATTTTATAAATTAGGCTCTTGTGTTGAGGACAGCACAGTTCCTTTTAGATATTTTACTGATTCAAAGGACTGTCACTTTAGTTGAATTAAAATTCATATTTAGTTTACTGTAAAAATGATACCTGCAAGTTAAGGGCATGAGAGAGAGGACTATAACTTGAGACATCCATTTTCACATTCCAGAATAATTCAATAACGTTTGAGGTAATATAGCAGAATATGTGATGTGAGATCCTTTTTTTATTTCTTATCCTCCAAATCTGTTTGAAGTTAAAAAGGTTTTAGATGTCACTTTATTTCTGTGCGTAGGAAAAAAACACTCTGGATTTTTGCCTGAATTGTTTGGTGGGGTTTGCCAGTTAGCTTGTGCCTTTACTCTGATTACAGACCACTAGAAATTAATGACATTATTTTCTGGTTTTATTATATCTATATTTTTCTTTTATATTCAGGAAGAAACACTATTGAAGTGTTAAGTAATTGTTACCATTGATTTTTTGTTAATGCAATACTTAAATTCATTTTTATTCTCTTCCTAGTATTGGCAAACTACAAAGGCAAGCTGCTGATTCTGTTCTCAACCTAATGATTACCAATACAGGCAGTCCTACTTTGCGCAGTAGTGCAGGGGCATAGAAATGGCCATACAAGCTGAAAGTGTCCAAAGCAATTTTAGTAAGCAATGGGAAAAATGACAGTTGTTTTGTGACCTTTAAAAAATTTTGTCTAAACATTAAAACCTTGCAGGGGCCAGTGTGGTGGTATAGTGGTTAGGTTTGCACACTCCGCTTCGGCTGCTTACAGATTCGGAGGTTCAAATCCTGGGTGCAGACCAATGCACCACTCATCAAGCCATGCTGTGGCGGCATCCCATATGCAAAATAGAGGAAGATGGGCACAGATGTTAGAGCTAATCTTCCTCAGCAGAAATAGGAGGATTGGCAGTGGATGTTAGCTCAGCCTGTCTTCCTCACCAAAAAAAAAAAAAACAGAAAAACCTTTCATATTGTTGGTTATATTTAGGGGAATGAAAACAAATGCTAAAACTAATATTTGTTTAATACACTATAATTTAAAACAGTAGAAACGTGAGAATTAGAGTGTTTATTTGTTTGTAAAAAACTTAACCGAGTGTAGTTTGAACAGTGTTTGCCTGCTTCTTTTCATATACCTTAAGACATATGAAAGGTATATCCTTAAGATAAGGAACAGGCGTCTTTTCTGTGTCTTGGCAAATTGGCTTACTCCTTTCTAAGTTTGGACCAGCTTACAACATTTTGTCCTGTCTACTTTCAATGCTGTGAAATATCTCTGAGAGTTCCTTTAATGTAGTTTTTTTGCCAGTGTCACTTCCTCTGCTACATCTTCATCCTTTTCATCACAGCCACTTTCCTCATTTATGTCAATAAATTTGCCTTCGCTGAGTTCCTCTGGCTGCACATCTAGTGCACAACAGTGGCAGTGTCATCATTCCCTCAGCCAGCTATTTCTTTTGTAACTTCGTTTACTTTCTATTTGAATTCCACTTCCAGCATTATAACTTTTCATTTCTTTGCTGTATTTCATCTTTATTGGCCAGTTCCCTATTTCAGTTATTTATTTATTTTTTTTTTGATGTCACATGGTTTATCACTGGAAGACAGGGAGATAACAAAACTATATGCTTTGCTATCTCTGCATAAACTGAATAATAGATGCTCAGTGACCAACACACTTTGAAAGAAGTGATGTGATTGGTTGCCGATCACAATGTGCATCTGTTATTTACAAAGTTATTTACATAGTGATTTGTGAACAGAAGAGTTAGTGAAGTTTGTGCTTTATACAGTTACTCAGTTAATATACCGTACTTACTGAAATTTGACCCATGCTGTTGGGAGAAGTGGTGGTATTTAACTAAACTGTAGTAACCAAAAGTTGTCCATATTGGAAACATATAAAATGAGTGCTTTCTGTATTTACCTTGTTGGAAGTTTAGCATATTGAAAGGATGCTAAAATTGGCCGGCAGGAAGGGGTGGGAATACCACACTGGCAACAAAATACAGGAACAGAAGCAGAATTGATATTTATAAAAACAATGAAAATCTTCCGTAATAAAAGGAAAGGGATTAGTACCATGTGTTGTTTTTTTTTTCTCTGTAAAGACCAAGGCCAGTTTGATTCATATGCATGACCTTTCTTGAAAGTAGGCTTGTTGCATCCCAAGAGCTAAAAGAATGAAGAAATAATAATATTTAACACTTATAAAGTAAAGTAGTAGAATATACAGTTTGATTTGTTACTAGATGTATGTAAAGTTAAGGGATCTGGACACAGGCAGCCTGGCTTCAGAGCTGTGGGTCCATGCTTTTAATTGTTGTACTGCTGTTCCTCTCAGCAACTAAGTGAGACAGCTGCAAATATTGATGGAATGTGTTTTTGTTCATTTTTTTATTTTCTATTAAATATAGTTCTTGGACTTGTACTTTAAAATCTAGTTGTGACCCAAAGCAGTCTCAGGCTATAAGAGTCACAACTGTACGTGTTTTAAAATAACCAAATGTTTCATCATTATTTGAATAAAACTAAGTATGTTTTTGATTACTAACATAATATTTGCTTTTTTGGAATAAAAATGTTTGTTATAGTAAGCTTAAGATTTAGACTTCTGCAGAATATTGCATAAAATTTAATTTATTCCTTCTAAAAGTATAATGTACTTATTAATGCATCATAGTTATTTTCAATTATTAATAAAATCTATTCATGTTATTTTTTGTTCACTATGTGTAGAATTGGAAACACCTTTTATATTTGTGACCTGATTTCTTTAAATGGGTTATTAAGTATGTGAGTGATTTTTCTACTTTGTTGGACATTTTTCTGTGAAGTTGAAATCCATTAACAAGAAAGTCCTTTTTTTTTCTAATTCCTCTTTTAAATTAATTACCATGAAAATAAGAAAAAGGAAGCTACGTATGGTGACACAAATATTTCTAAACATTTTTGTAGTACTCTTTCCCTGTTTTTTAATTTGCTTATTTTTTGAGTAGGCAATACATTCTTAAAGTTCAAGATGCAAAAGTTAACTGAAGGACGGAAAGTGAGAAGCTTCCCATCCCTGCCCTCCAGCCACAAGTTCCCATCTCAGGGGCACTCTTGGTTACCTTCAGAGAGATTTTATGCACCTGTAAGCAAACATGTATATAAGCACACATATTTACACATATACGCATTTGTCTTAGTTCAAGCTGCTATAGCAAAGTACCATAGACTAGATTTCTTATAAACACTCAAAATTTATTTTTCACAGTTGTAGAGGCTGCAAGTCTGAGATCAGGGTGCCACCATAGTTGGTTTCTTGTGAGGGCCCTCTTCCTGATTGCAGGTTGCAAACTGCTCATATCCTCACTCAGTGGAAAGAGGGCTAGCTAGCTCTGGCCTCTTATAAGGACACTATCCCATTCATGAGGTCTCCACCCTCGTGGCATAATTACCTCCCAAAGGCATCCAGATACCATCCAGATACCATCACATTGGGATTAGGGTTTCAACATAAGAATTTTGGGGGTGACATAAACATTTAGTCCATTGCAACATATACAGACACACACCTACTCAAGCTTTTACATAGATTGTTGCTTCTTGTACACACTATTAAAGACTTTTTTCGCTAGACACTATAACTTTGAGGTCAGTCCTTCTGAGTACATAAAGAGCTGCTGCTTTGTTTTTTATGGCTGCAGAGTACTCCATTCATTGTATATGTATGTTGCAACTTATTTAACTTGTCCTTCTTGGTGGACGGTTAGGTTTCTAATCGTTTTCTATTTCAAGCAGTGTTGATGTTGATGACTGCACAAAGTAATTTGTGTGTGTACAGGTAGCTGTAGAATATATTCTGATATAATCTAGTTTTTAACTTAGAAAAATATATTTGTTTTATGTATTAATTTTATAGAGTATGCTTTAATCTATAGATAATTTCAAGATTGAATAATAATAGAAAATAATACCAGTAAATATTTATACACAGTTGTTTCATCATTCTTGTTTTTAATGTGAGACAGATAAATGGTTTTGTGTGTAACATTTTCTCCTCAAATTTTAATAACACTTCTCTGACTTAAAAGTTTTTGACAATGGGATTTTTAAAAAATTTAATTTCAGTATCTTAAGTTAATATTGAATATTCCTCATTCCTAAGTTAAAACATTAAGATTAACACAATAAGGAAGGGATAACTCTGGGTGATAGCAGGAACATTGAACATATTTCTGAGTTGCTATCTACAGTTATTACAAGATAGTTACAAGGCTATAGATTTTGTGTAAATGTTAAAGTTTGAGACTGTTTTCCCACTGTAGTTAACACTTTACTTTTGTGCTTTAGGGATTCTCACTAATAATTTAGTACTTAAACTACAGTGGTAAATTACGTCATTGGTGTGCACAGATGGCACCCTGATGTTAATTAATAATAATTAATATTTTTGTATGTTAAGTGTGTACCAGCCTCTACTTTACATGCATTATTTTATTAAATTTCACAATAGCCAAGTGAGATTGTTGACTGGGGCTTAGAGTTCTTTATAATTGGTCCAAGGTAGCCTTTAAGTTTGGTGAAGGCAGAGACTCTGTCTGTTTTTGCTTATCATGGTATCATAAATATTATGTGCTACAGACGCTAAGCACTTGATATTGGAATAAACGAGAGGAAGTAACAAGTCTTTCTTTTTGTCACTGTAACCACTGCTGATAACCTCTCATACTTTTGTAAACCATGGAATGATAATTAGCAATTTTAATGAAGAATGAGCTGTTTTAGATCTTCATCGATAAACTACATAAATTTGTAAAGATTATAAACATGTAAGTAATACACATTTGTTCCATTTCTAGAAGAGTTTTGGCAAACACATTATAGGAGCTTATGATATCAGTAATTGACTTTCCATGGTTTTTCAGTAATATACAGGAAAATTACCATTATGACTTTGGGGTACATATTTTGAGATAATGTTTTATAATATTTTAACTTTTTTTGTTTCTAGTGTTGAAGGGCTTCATGCTATTGTTGTGTCAGATAGAGATGGAGTGCCTGTTATTAAAGGTAAACTGAGCACTTTCATGCCAGTGTCATTTTTGCTTTTGAATAAAAATGTGTTTATATCTCAATAGTGCAGAAGGCAAGCATATAGGACCTATTTCATTAAGTTCAGGAGATGGTCTTAGTTTGGGGGGAAATGTTTGCTTTTGTATGTTGCAGGCTGGGTTGGAACTTATAACTTATTACATGTCAGATATATCATGTTAACATCCAGAGTTTAAGCATGGATTTTTCACAGGCCCAGTTTCCCATGAAAGATGTTTTATGGTGTAATGTAAACCGTTAGTAAATCTAAGTGATGAGACTGGGCATGTATGCAGCTGGGTATATTATACACAAAGACTCCCTGCAATATATACTTTTTATTAATATCGCTAGTAGTTTTAAGATAAGCATCCATGCATTTTAATCAACATATATTGATTGTTTAGAATTGAAAGGAAGTTTATAAATCACCTAATTTAGTTCTTCCATTTTATAAACCAAGATGATTTAAGTGCAAAGAGTACATTGTCAGCCAAACTTGCACGAGTCAGTGGCAAGATAATAATAGAACCCGTCATCTCATAATGTGTGGTCCATTGTGCTTTCTATCCCACCGTCAGACATGGGTGGCCATGGGCAAGGCACTTGCCTTTTTCCTATGTTTTGTAATGAGGGCTTTGAACAAAATAATCTCAGAGGTTTTTCCAGCTCTAATGTTCTTTCTGAGGATCTCTGTGTTAAAGCCTTAAGCTCTACACTTATTGGTACAACTGACTCCATTCAGACCTTTTAATGAGTGAAAGAAACTTAAAACAGATGACCAGCTGCAGAATTAATAATATCTATAAGTGATACTACTGTGGGTTTTATGAGCCCAAAGGTTTTTGAAGCTTTTTTCATTACTTTATTCTAGCTTGACTCTTAGTTAACTAGAATATTCAATTTATTAAATGTACTGATTAATCTGTGTTTTAAGGTAGATATTAAGAAAATATAAACATTTAGTATTCTTTTAAAAATAAAAAAAATTGTGAGAATCAGCATTTCTTCTGTTAGTTATGGTCACTCAACTTCCAGTTATCAGTTTTTTCCACCTAAATTGGTGAGCCTCAATTAGTGATATGATTTTCAATATTGTGAAGCATAACCCTTGTGCTTGATTTTTTTACAGATTTATGTAAAAAAAGAAGGTGCTGTAAATCTTCTCCCGACCATACCCAATGCATAATTTTTATTTAAATCATTTGTACTTCCAGTGGCCAATGATAATGCTCCCGAGCATGCTTTGAGACCTGGTTTCTTATCTACTTTTGCCCTTGCAACAGACCAAGGGAGCAAACTTGGACTTTCAAAAAATAAAAGTATCATCTGTTACTATAACACCTACCAGGTAAGTTCATCATTATCGAATGGTTTACTGATTGCCACTATTGTTTTTATGTCTTCTATATAAAATAGTTTGTGTTATCATTCTAAATTTTAGTTTTGAAGGGGATGGAATTTTAAAATCTTAGCCTTCAAATTGGTTATGTTAAACTTTAGTAACTTTTTTCACATTTTATACCAAGAATTAATTAATATGGAAAAGTAGTTAAAAAGATTTAATAATAATGTACATGTTATCCTAAAAAGAGTAAGTCAGGTCACTATTACCTCCAGTAGATGGTGCCCTTAGCTTAACAACTGTGATTTCTCAAATGACACACTTGTTGTTGTTGTTGTGACAGATGAAAAATTTCTCTTGAATCAAGTGATAAGTATTTGTTATTGCTGCTAATTCTTTCATTTGGTTTGGAATATATATATAAAATCAATGATATTATTAATAGTGGGAATGAAATTGGTTGCTACATACCTTTTGATCTCCAGCTGCATTTTCTTCTGTATAATAAATTAATCACTTCTGCTTTAGAGCAGTGTTTATCAGAGTATGCTTCATATACTACTGATGTTTTATTTTAAAAGTTATGTATTTTAATGTGTATTAGGCGAAAGATAAGCAACCCATCTGACCTTTAATTTCACTGATAAGGATTAGGTTGAAGCTAGGGTTTTTAAAAAGATAGATGATTTAAAATTAATTTAAATTAATTTAATTATAGTAGGACACAGGAGGGAGAAAAATCATGAAGATATGACTATTTGAATAATTGAGAAATACTGCCTTTGCCATTTAATTATCAGTTATTTATTAAGCTCCTACTATGTAATTGACTGGGCTTTAGAGATAAAAAAAGATGAAGACGACACAGTCCCACCTTCAAAACTTTCCAGGCTAAGTAGTATTGATGTCTCTAAGAGATATCAGTAACTCTGCTTTATGGAAATATTTATTTTCAGCTCTTTCATATTTCATGATGTAATACAATGATGTTGGGCTAGTATCTTACACATTGACTATTTAAAAATTTTTGAAAGATTAAGAGATTTCATTTGAATTATACTTCCTTTCCACAATACAACGTATTATTTAGATCTCATTTTCTTTTTAGGTGGTTCAATTCAATCGTTTACCTTTGGTGGTGAGTTTCATAGCCAGCAGCAATGCCAATACAGGTGTGTTTTGTCTTAAATATAGCTTTTAATTCTTTATAATACCATTTCTGAACAGTCTAATATGATAGAAATAGTAGATTTAGAGTCAGAAAACCTGAACTCATGGTGCAGCTCCACCATCTATTCCTGGATCTCCAAAAAAGTAACTTCTCTGAGTTCTCTTTTCCGTATCTGTATAATGGAGCTAATATCTGCTTTCTCCATCTTACGGAGTTATTTTCTAGTTCAAATCAGACGGTGTATGGGTAAGTGATCCTTTAATATAGGAAGGAAATTGAAGTTCTCTCTTGAATGCTACATCTTGCTCACATTAAAACAGCTTAAGAAAACAAAAAGAAAGTAGGGAAGATAATCAAACAAAACACATAAAATGATCAAGGATGAGTTGAATTCCATATAGACCAATCTATTAGAATTTTTAAAAATTGAACAATCGTAGGCAAGATGAATGTGATTGAGAATTTAAAGAGTGAATAGGATGAACATATTCACATTCTTCTTGTGGGTTGAAGAATTTGAGCACAAACACGAGGAAGCTGTCCTTTCTGTAAAGGAGAGTAAGATCCCATTACATCCAGTAGCTTTCATGGGGTATTTATGTATAAAATGACAGTATTCAGTTGAATTGTAATTTATTATATCCCTTTTGGATAAAGTGGGATTTTTTTTAACGTCTGTCTCCGTCAGATTTGACTGTTATTTAGGACTGTTATACATTCCTTTTCTGTTTTTTTCTTTCCAAGCTGTTCCAGCATGTTCTATTCCCAGCTATGTAACTGAAGCCTGTCCTTACATGCCTCATCTTTAAAAGGAGAAGGGTAGATTTGATGGTCTATTAGATCTCTTCCATTTCTAAATGTTTTGGAGCTGTACAGTACTACATGTGAAAACACATTTTAAATTCTATAGGATAGTAGTGGTGTCAGTATTTTAAGTATATTAAACCTCAGTTGTGATAATTCACCATCACATGCCAAATCATCAGTTGTTATAAATTATAATAATGTACAGAATTATATTTCAGTACGTAGAACAGTTCCTTGAGAATCCCAGGTGCTTTTAATATTCTGTGAGACAGAGGAAGATCTTTGTGTGCACATAAAAGAAGCAGTATCTAAGGTCTATGTCCTTTCCCTCTGGTAAACTAAGGAGAAGCTGTATGCTCATTTCTAGACTAGTTTGTCTTCCAGATTCATCATTGAACTTCTTTTTAAACATGGAAGTGTATATTTTATACTCCTACCTTTCATCTTTAAAAGTAATTTTTTTATTTGAAATACTTATTTATGCTTTAGCTTTATTCAATTTATAAAATAAATTTGATTATTTTGTTTGCTCAAGATTGAAGCAGCCTATCTACCTTTCTTTTGAAAGTCCATTAAAGTTTGCTCAGGAAAAAAGTGTGCCTTTTTTAGTAAAAGTCATGTGTATTATTTCTGAATCACTGCAGATTTTAAAACAATAAGGTATAAACTAAGGTTTTCCTTTCAAAACTAATAAAATTATAGTGTTTGTAATTCATTTTTTATCTTCCAATAAAAAAATATATTTTTCATTTATCTACTTCAATAATAGATGATGAAAATAAATTTCATAATGAATATGGGTTTTTTAGTTACTTTCTTTAGAATTACAATATTTTGTTTTAGTTACAGGGAATAAACTGTCTCATTTACTTTTTAGTAAGTAAATTTTGACAAGGGGGAATTTAAGTCAAAGACTTTTTCAGGAACATTTTTCTAATGTTCTAATTTTTTAAATCTCTTTGTTTTAGGACTAATTGTCAGCCTAGAAAAGGAACTTGCTCCATTATTTGAAGAATTGAGACAAGTTGTGGAAGTTTCTTAATCTGACAGCAGTTTCGATGTATACCTTATCGTCATTGTAACAGACACAATAGCAATCCAGCAATCTTTAGACCACAACAATACTTGTATCCATGTATTCAAGAAAGGGCCCCTTTTTCCACCTTACACTAAAGACAGAACCTATAGATATAATTTATGGACAGATTCATTATCTTTTCTTGTGTAGGGCCTTTTCTTATTTAGTTACATCTGGGGATACTGCAGAAATGGTTCAGTCTATCACAGCTCCCATGGAGTTAGTCCAGTCACCAAATATGGATGAGATTCTATTCAGTGGGTCAGAATCAAAATGGAACCACTTGAACCACTAAGTGCTCCCTATTGTACAATACACCCAGGCTTACAGAACGCGGAAAACCCGTTTTATTGTGAATAATAACGAGGACATATTTTTCTTCATTTTTTTATTTCTTTGCATCGAGTGTAAGGAAGATAAAATGGCATAGTAAAAGTAATAAAATCAGTACAATCACTAACTTTCTTATGTATATATTATTTTGCAGTATAGATGAATATTACTAATTGATTCTTCTCAGAGGGTGCTGCTGTTTAATGAATATGAAAATGATAGCTAATGGTTTTTTCCTCCAGTTTGCTTTCTGTAACCAGTGTTTTAATGTTTGTGTGTTCTTTATAAAATTTAGATGTGGTTCATTATCAGACTCTGTTTCCAATATTAGTATGTATGTAAACATGATAGTACATCTATTTTTTTCATACGTGAGTGTAAAAAGTATTTTTAAAAGTACAGTTTGAACACCATACAGGTTTCTTTTCACAGAATTCTTTCAAAACTTTAAAGAATATAATTAACTTAATTCACTCTTTCAACTGCCCAAATAAGTAGTGAGTATTTCTTATAGGTATTGGTTTTGGGACTGTTTTACCTAGCATAAAGTGTCAATTGGAAAATAGACCTCATCCATGAGGCTCATTAAATCTCTATGAAATTGGTGTCACAGTTCTAGAATATGCCCTTTGTATTCAGGAATGCAGTCCATCATTCGAGGTTATTAGTTTCCTCCTAGGTTCTTTGACAGTTTGTCACTGGTACGATTTAGTACACATGCATCGAGCACCTACTATGTGCCATTCACCGGAGCTGCCACATAGCAAAATTCTGAGAGCACAGTTCACATTTTATTTCTGTGCTCCAGGAGTGCGTTTGACATGGAGTGTGTGCAGAGGCAGTCCCTAGAGTTGTGCAGTGAGGTGGTCGGCCAGGCACTGTGCCTGTTTGCTTCCCTTCTTCACTCTTTCCCTCCCTCCCTTCCTCTTTCCATCCTGTGCAAATATGAGAGTAAATTGTGGTACCTACCTTGAAAGAATTTATAGCTCAGTAAATGAAACAGGTATAGGAAGTGCTGAGATAAAGCTATGGGCAGGATGCTGTAGAAACACAGAATAGGGGCATTTAAATTGGGCAAGAACAACAGGGTTTACAAAGAAATAGAGGTAAGAGAGAGAGTTTACCTGCAGGGAGCTATAAATAGTTAATTGTCACAACCTAATGAGGCACACACCCGTTAGACACACCCATTAAAGTCTAGAATTCTCATTATCTGGATTACTATTTAATAGTGTTCAGGAGATTTTTGCCGATGCAATGATGCATGAAACAAGAAACACTTCTTTTATAAATGAGGTGACCAAAATTTTAATTGCAAGTAATAATAATTATATATCTAAAAACCCATGAAAGAAAACTAATAAATGGAGATATTAACCTTTGTGGAGTGAATACAGCTACTGTTAGGATTTCTGTTTCAAGGTGTATAATAGATAAATTATTCTGTAGTTCATCTGGAAAAATAAGGTGAAGATCTCTTAAGAAATTTTTGAAAAGGTAATATGAAACTAGATTAACTTTGTTGTTGTTGTTGTTGAGGAAGATTAGCCCTGAGCTAACATCAGTTGCCAATCCTCCTCTTTTTGCTGAGGAAGATTGGCCCTGGGCTAACATCGGTGCCCATCTTCCTCTGTTTTATATAGGATGCCGCCACAGCATGACATGACAAGCAGTGCGTACATAGGTCCACGCCCGGGATCCAAACCTGTGAACCCTGGGCCGCCGAAGCAGAGTGCACGAACTTAACAACTACACCACTGGGCAGGCCCCTAGATTAACTATTTTTAAAAGATAATATAAAACTAGATTAGGTGTACAACTAGACAGATCAATGGAACAGACTAACCCAGAAACAGACTTTAGTACATACATATATGAGACTTAAAACGTTTTAAGTATGACATTATAAGTCAGTGGGGAAGGGATTATTCAATAAGTAGGACAGGCCTTTTTTATGCCTTGCTGATGGAAGTGTAAATTGTTATACCTTTTATGTAGGACAGTTTGACATTCTGTATCAAACTTTCAAATGCACATAACCTTTGATCCATTGTATTAGGATTCTCCAGAGAAACAGAACCCACAGACAAAACGATGTTACATTTGGGCACCCCACGGCCAGTCAAGTTGACATAAAATTTACCATCACCCTCAGCCATCACAATTCCACTCTAGATGTTTAATCCTCCGGATGCGTATGGACTTCTGCAAAATTATATATTTGCAACTATATCATTGTAATTTGGTAATATCAAAGGATTGTAAACAACCTAAATACCTTTCATAGTTAGGATGACCGTGTGTTCTATTTTTTCTAACAGTTCCAGTTTATACCTACTGTTCTTGGTGCAACACTTATTAGTGGTCCTTTCAACTCTCAGGTGTCCCACTTTAAGAAATTACATGGTCACCTAATCATAGAGGATTGATTAAATTACTACATTTGACCAGTGGGAAAAAGAGTGAAGAAGACTTCAGGTACTGAGATGGAATGATCTCCAAGACATAATGTTCAGTGAAAAAAGCATGATGTGAAACTGTAGTATGCTACAGTTTATGATAAGAGGAAAAAATATATGTGTTTATACTTGCTTGTATATGATAGACTGTCTCTGAAGATACACAGAGCCTGGTAACGTTGGTGGCCTCCAGGGAGTGGAACTAGGTAGCTGGAGTACAGGGATCCCAGGAGTGAGCCTATTCACTGAAAAAACGTCATTGTACTTTTTTTGTGTGTGTGTGTGTGAGGAAGACCGGCCCTGAGCTAACATCTGATGCCAATCCTCCTCTTTTTTTAGCTGAGGAAGACTGGCCCTGGGCTAACATCCGTGCCCATCTTCCTCTACTTTATACAGGATGCTGCCATAGCATGGCTTAACAAGCGGTGAGTCGGTGCACGCCCGGGATCCGAACCGGTGAACCCCGGGCCGCTGCAGCGGAGCGCGCGTCCTTAACCCCTTGCGCCACCGGGCCAGCCCTGTTCCTTGTACTTTTTGAATTTTTAAATATTCAAATATAATAAAATTAAAAATTAAATAAAATCAGCAAACAACAAAATTTCTAATAAAATGGTGGTGAGGTATTTGGGGAAGAAAGTTTTACCAGTGTTCACCAAAGAAACAGCCAACAGGATGCAGTCGTATTAGATTTATTTCAAGAACTGGTTTACATGATCGTGGGAACTGGTGAGTCCAAAATCGCTAAGGCAGGCCAGAGGCTAGAGAATCTCGGGCTGGGGCTGAGGCTGCAGCCTTAAGGCAGTGTTTCTTCCCTTTGGAAAGCTCAGTTTTGCTCTTAAGGCCTTTCAATTGATTGGATGAGGCCCATCCACTTTATGGAGGATAATCTCTTTTATTTGAATTCAGTGTATTAGATGTATTAAGCACATCTACAAAATACCTGCATAGCAACACCTAGATTCATGTTCGATTGAGTAATCGGGTAGCGTAGCGAAGTTGACGTGTAAAATGAACCTTTGCGGTCTACCCTTGTCAGTTTGGCACCAGTACACATCTTTTTTTTTTTTTTTTGTGAGGAAGATCAGCCCTGAGCTGACATCCATGCCAATCCTTCTCTTTTTGCTGAGGAAGACCGGCCCTGAGCTAACATCTATTGCCAGTCCTCCTCTTTCTCCCCAAAGCCCCAGTAGATAGTTGTATGTCATAGTTGCACATCCTTCTAGTTGCTGTATGTGAGACGCAGCCTCAGCATGGCTGGAGAAGCAGTGCGTCGGTGCGCGCCTGGGATCCGAACCCGGGCCACCAGTAGCGGAGCGCGCGCACTTAACCACTAAGCCGCGGGGCCAGCCCCCAGTGCACATCTTCTTAAACCATAGTTAATCTCCAATTAAAGACAATAACCAAGTTACACTTCTGTCTAACGTGATACAACTATCCTGCGTACACTGAGAACATGTCAACCCTTTCCCCAGAGAGGATGCAAAGTCCTTGGGTGATGTTCCCTTTTCTCCTTGATATACTGTAGCTTAAATACAGTAATGTAAGGTTAACCATTATTAATGCAGTTTATGTTAGATGATGAGAGAGGAAAGAAAAATATTTGCTTAATATGTGTGTGTGTAATATATACATACTTGTATATGTACACAAACATTCATAACAAAATAAGGAAGAAATATAATAATCACAGTCCTCATTTTTCCAACTAGGTATGTGGTTGTAGCTGATATTTATAACTACCTTACATTACCCATTCCATAGTCCCTCTGCCCTCAGCAAGCAGCTCAGCTGGTCGTGGTTCTTTGCCTGGTGAGGTGACCCAAACCTTCATTTCTGAAGAATCTGAGCCATTAATTGTCTTGCCTGCACTGAATTTTGTAGTTTTCCGTTGACTTTAGTCACAGAGCTTAACAGTACTAAGATCCCCTAGAGGATCTCCTGTGTTTTGGACATACTCTTTCTTACCTCCATTGTGCAGTAGCAGCCCAATTTCCCCTTAGCAATCAGGATCACTCACCCCAACCAGTACTGTAATTCCCTTCTTTGCCTATTGATTCAGAGGCATGAGGAGCCCAAAGTAGACACGTGGCAGTCCTAAAGTCCAGTGTAATAGAATCATGGTTGTATCCCCTGGTCGAGGCAATCCTCCCTTTGGAACAAAGACCTGTAGACCAGCGGAGCATAAGGATGTGGGGACAGGAAGCAAAAATTATGCCAGGAGGTCACTAGGGGTATATAGTGAGTGGTGCCATGCCCATTTCCACCCCCTTGATTCCTGGACCTGTGAATCCTGGCTATGGGAGAAATAGCACCATATATTGCATGTTGATTTAGAGCATATGTAGCCTCCTGGAAAACATTGCCCCAGCCCTCCAAGGAATTGCCACCTAGGTAGTGCTGTAACTGAGTCTTCAAAAGGCCATTCCACCATTCTATCAAGCCAGCTGCTTCAGGACGATGGGGAACATGGTAAGACCAGTGAATTCCGCAAGCAATATAAGAAATATATTTCTTCCAAAATCCAAAGAGGCCCATTAGGCATTGTGCTTCTTTTTTGGTTGTGGGAGGGGCTAGATGCAACAAGTTATCCTTTACCTTAGAAAAGATATCTTGACCTGTCCCACACCACTGGACCCCTCGAATTTCAGTGAAGTAGGAGGCCCCTGAATTTTTGCTAGATTTATTTCCCACTCAGACAAACAAATGTCTTACCAATAAATCTGGTGTTGTTGCTCCTTCTTGCTCACTAGGTCCAATCAGCACAATATCATCAAGGCAATGGACCAGTGTGATGTCTTGTGGAAGAAAAATGTGAACAAGGTCCATGTGGACTAAATTATGACATAGGGCTGAAGAACTGATACCCCTCTGTGGTAGTGAAAGGTGTATTGCTGGCCTTGCCAGGTACAGCAGATTGCTTCTGGTGGTCTTCACCAATCGGTATCAAGAAGAAAACATTTGCCAGATAAATGGCTGCGTACCAGGTACCGGGGGATGTGTTAATTCGCTTAAGCAATGGAATCACATCTGGAACAGTAGCTGCAATTGGAGTCACCACCTGGTTAAGTTTGTGGGAGTCCACTGTCCTTCTCCAAGATCCATTTATCTTCTGCACAGGTCAAACAGGGCTGAAGGAGGATGTGGAGGGACTCACCAGCCCTGCATCCTTCAAGTCCTTGATGATGGCACTCTGAAGCCCCTGCAGAAATGTGGTATTGCTTTTGGTTTACTATCTTCCCAGGTAGAGGCAGTTCCAGTAGCTTACATTTGTCCTTTCCCACCATAATAGCCCTCACTCCACAGGTCAGAAAACCAATGTGAGTATTTTGCCAGTTGCTGAGTATGTCTATACCAATTATGCATTCTGGAATGGGCGAAATAACCACAGGTTCAGGAACCCACCAGACTCACTTCTCTAGTTCCATCCTTGCTTCTGCTGTGGAAAATCCAGTCCCTCTCAACTCCCTTCCACATATTTCTGGGCACCCTCAGAGAACCCTTTACATGTAAGTACTCCTGAAACCAGTTTTCACAATCACTACACGGCACCTGACCATTTCATTTGCTCTTGTTCTCTCTGGGATGAGCTCTGCCCCTCAAACCCTGGCTCTACTGCTGCTGCTGACTGAGAACGTGGGTGCCAGAGGCTGCTGAAGGCTAAGGGCACCATCTTGCCAGCTGTGAGTGTGACACAATTTACTGTCTCAATGTCTGCCCTTGAGACCGTAGTGAAACAGTTTCTTTAGATTTTGCTGAGGGGCTGAATAACAGACAAGAATGTGCTCAGAACCACCCTTTCCCTATAATGGTGTCCATAATCCATCAATAAAACATCAGCACCTCAACCTCTCTACCTTCAGGGGAACTCTTTCTCAAGAAGGCTCTTGGTTTCTTTTAGCTGCCAGTCCGCTAGACCAGAGCTGCTCAATACGTGGTCCACAAACTGGGCTGTTCTGTCAGCAGTATGTGACAAGGTCAGCACAGAAACTCAGAGTAAGTGTTTAAAAACTTAACGGTTTCACGTAATAACTTTATGTCTGTAGAACCCGATAATAAAAAATGAGATTATGATGTTTGTATTTTTTACTTCATTTTTCTAATAATTTATTTTTATTGGATTTTACAAAATTCCAGTCTGTCATAGATCAGAAATTTAAAAAAGGAAAATCTGGTCCTTTGCTACAGATGATTTAGGAAACTCTGCTTCACACCATGCCCAGACAGCCTGAATCTGTACTGAGCAGAGCGTAGGCTCGCGCCTGGAACTCTGCGATACAGCGGACTTGGCTGGGAAGAGTTTGCCAACAGTATGGGTTTTCTGCAGCCAACCTGAAGTGGTAGAGAGGGAGCAAAGTAGGACTGATGTTCACCCTGTAATAGTTCTCTTGCTTTCTGCCTGAAACAAGGACACAGTATAACTTCCTGACCCTCAGACCCAGCGTGTGTGAGAGGTGAGGACTGAAGAGCCCACTCTCCTGCATCCCACGTGGGTGGGAAGAGAAAGGCTCTGGCCCACTGAGTGTTCAGACCGCCAGTGGCTCTGGAATAGGGGGCAGGTTGCCCTCAGAGGCTGTAATAGCCATCCACACCATGGGGGTCACTTCCCTGGTCTAGAGGGCGCAGTGCTTCTGTGGGGCATGACATTCCCAGGGGGAATTCTGAGAATAGCTGCTAATCCTTTGGCTGTGTCTTAAGAGCTACTTCCTTATGATAAGCACACACCTGTTGGCAGACAGGGCCTGACACACACCCCACTGGCTATTGTCTCAAACAACCCCATTCTGATCTGCCATTGGCACAAAACATCCTCCGTCGTCTTGGACTTGGAGAAATAGCGGAGGGCCCTTCACCAGGCTCCTTGCAGGAGGTGAAATCATGACCACTTTTCAGGGCTGCTGAGAGCAGGTCTAGCATCTAGCATAGTACTAATTACACAGTGGGTATATGTTAGCTTGCCCTTTTCTCAAAAGCTCGAGAAAATGGCTTTATCCTCGCTGAAGCACACTCTCCACCGTATAGCTTTGCGTGCCTCACTTGTTGTATTCATCTTATTTACTTCTATACATCATCATGTATGTATTTATTATCTTTTCCACATCCAACTAAGAGCTCCTTAAGGACTATATCTTCAACTCTGAATCCCTCTTAGCTCATAGTCTAACCAAAGTGGGTCTTTGTTGCTATTTATGATATTAATCTGTTCTATTTCTTTTAAAGTATAGATATTAAAAATATATTTTAATAGAAAAATAGTACAGGCACAGAAAAATCATGCTCTTTTTAATAAACATAACCAAAGAATATAAATAAACATGCTATATTTTACAAAAAGTAAAAACAATATTACCTACACAAAGAAACACCTTTGGTTCTGAGAAAACAACACATAAAAGCACACATCTCAGTGAGGATCCGTTTGTAACCTCTTACTTGGCAAACTGGACACAATAATTATTTGTTTTATCCCATGTGATACAAACATTACAAAGTACATTACAAACCTTGTTGAAAAACACAAAACTATAATGTCATTTCTGAGTCCTAGATGTTGAAATAACAGAAGAACTTGATTTAAGAAGGTAAGCCTTTGCACGGCAAGAGCAGTGTTCCATCACAGCTTTGTACCGTGACCTTTCCATTTTGGGGCTCTTCCTCCCTTTTATCTCCCTTCAAACCTCAGTCTAAAAAAGCAGTATGAATAAAGATAATAGAAAGGGTTAGAATCTATTCATGAGCTCCAGATGCCAGGATCTCATTCTCCGGTTTGCATCCCCTTACTCTGGTTTGAAAAGGCTGTGCGCCAAACGCGTCATTATACACTGCATGTGCATTTAGTGTTGCTCCCTCAACTGGCAGCAGAAGTTGCTCCTGAATAAGATGCAGGTGTTCAGCGTCTCAGTGCAAAGTGGTTCTTACTTCTCGTGGGCCGACCCTACTGCTCGCTCCGGGAGAGGATTGTTCTAACACACTCTCCTTGAGAAGTCTTTTTCAGGCTGTTTGGGGAAATGTTGGCTGAAGATAACTTAGTGCTTACAAGTGCTCTATTATTGTTATAGTTATAATAATAATTACTATTATAGTTATGATTAGAGTTATAATAATAATTATTATTAAACTACAAGTTATCTACTACTTTATTACTCTTCCTTGATTTATGTTTTCTCACACTTAAAACATTTCCCCCAAAATGATTAAAAGAGATGTTTTTTAGAGTGTGCCTTCCTTTGTCTTTATCATCCTACTCAGTTGCCCATGGGACATTTAGTTCTCACAGGTTTATCATTAGAAGGGCAGGAAGGACCCACTAGATTTCTGAGCCTTCTACCAAGACAAAATAAAATGAAATACAAAAAAATAAATGGAAAACAAACATTTTCCATTTTAGTTTTGGAAATTGTTTTGTTTTGTTATATAAAGGATAAAAAAAGCAAAAACAACCACTGTCCCCCGATCTTTGATGTTTGCTGTCTCGATATACTTTCTGAAGATGCAGCCTAAACCTCAAAGTGTACAGCTGTTTCCTTCCTGATTGACAGCACAACCTGGCTGTCAGACGAGCTGACCATGACACAGAGTGGGACTCCAGGTAATGTCAACCGGCTTGAGGACCACAGTGAGGGAAAACAGAATCCCCCTGTCTGACACTGTCTGTTCTGAGAGTGAGCACACCCGGGTGCCATCAGAACAATGATTGCTGGTATTCTCAAGGAGATGACAACGTCCCGAGGGGTTGCAGTTTTCCGTGAGTCAGCAAATGTGGTGTGTTCTGAAAGGTCCAAGTCAGCATCTGCTTTTGATTTGTTTGTGAAGAAAAATCCTTAGTCAGCTTGGCTGGAGCCTGCTATGGATCACAGCATGAGGGAAGATTCCACGCTGCTCCTGGGCCGGGGCACCCCTTGTGGAGAAAGGTCTATTTAAAGATGAATGACCGGGATCGGATGGTGCCTTCCCCTTGGTCGAGCTGTTTTCTTATTTGAGACTGTAATGAACCACACATACGTATGTATTTATTATTGAGTTAATGAACTCTGGCTTTTAACAAATATTAAATAAAGCATGCTGATTATTAAGGAAACTATGCAACCATAAATTATCACATGCCCCCACCACCACTCAAGTTTCAATCTGGTTTTTTTTTTGTTTTGCATTTTTCTCTAGAGAAATATTTTGAGTAGTTACTAAAACATGTACAAATTGGGAATTGGCCTAATACAGTAATCCATAAAATGCAATAATACTCTTCAATGAATCAAAATGAAGACATAGATCTAAATTTACTGATATGGAAAGATGTTCATAGTATATTGTTAAGTGGAGTGAGCAGGTAAAGAACCCTAGAGAATGATTAAATTTTGTTTTTAAATATTTATTTGCCCAAGGAGAAGACTGAAATTGTGTGCATTTGATATATTTTTACCTTAATTTTTCTATAATGATTATAGGTCACTTGCATATTTATGAAATAAAAAGAATAAAAAATTGATTCATATCTGAGCAAAGGTTTCATATGGCAAAGTATTTCCCATTGAATATCAAACACATTGGAACTGTCTCTAAATGAGGGGTACAGAATATTTATTTGGATTTCAACAGAAAAGACAACAAAGAGCAAAAGTCCCAATATCTAGAAAGGAATATTCAACAAGATTCTATATATAAGCTAATTTCATAAAAAATATATACAAAAAATTGTTTACGTTTGAAAACATTCAGAGTTTCAAGATGGTATCTATAGGAAATTTTGGAAAGCTTTAAGGACATGTTCTTGCCTAACAACTCACTGATTTGCAAACAGATACAAAAAATGTATGATACTGGTAAATTTTAATAAGCACTACATCTTCCCGCTGGGAGGTACATAGAAAGCAGATAAAATAAACCACCTTTTGTTCTTGAACTGCACAAAGTAACATTTACACTGGAAACTAAGCCAAGTTCCACTAGCAAGCTTCCTTCTCTGACAATTTAAAAGGATTTTCCACTATAGAAATATGTCAGCTTTCCTCTGTCTGACCTTCTGGTCCCAAATGTCCTGCTCCAGGCAAAATTGGACCAACCTGCACACTTAAAGGAAAACGGGTAGCCACTCGGGCGCGAGGCCAAGGCTCTGGGGCTGAGAATCCTGCAGTTCCGTCCTTTCTCTTTTACCCCTGTCTCCACCTCGTCCATGTCCCAGAAGAACGAACAGACTATTCTACAAAGCCTGTAAGTAGACAGCCCATTGATTCCCTGGGATAGTCTGACTCTTTCAGTAGAAATATGTTTGAAATCATCAACATGTTATTTCCAGGTACTAGGCAGCCAGAAGACTCACCAATTTCCAGCGTAATATCTTGATCCACTCATCAGCTTCTACTCCTGTCTTTGCACAGAGATAAAATGTCCTGAATGGAAATACCAAGCTGATAAGACAAAAGAAAGAATGTAAGATATTCCAGATGGTTAGTTGAATATATATTAGTTGAACACTAATTAGAGTATTTCAAGGGAAAAAAGAATTGACAAAGAGGCTGGGGACGCAACTTGCAGAACTGGTCTATGCAGAGCTATTCCTGCCAGCACACAGCAGAAACGTCAGGAAGTTGTAGATTCATATTGCTGTTACAGGCCAGATTTACATTTTTTAATGAGAATTCAAAGAAGAAAAAAACATGTCCAGGACATCCCCAGCTCCTTTCGTTGCTCGTGTCTTAGACTGAATACGACATATATGTGTTTATGCAGCTGATCTGTCAAATGACTCAGAAACTGTGCTGTGATTCGAAGAAGCAGCAAGACAGATAAGAGAGAGTTTACTAAGGAGCTCATTTGTGTCAGTGTGCCTCAATGAGGACAACGCTTCCCTCTGTGGATGGAGGCAGCTTTAACTACTCAGGACAGAAAAAAAGAATAAAACTTCTCAACTATTCATTTTGCCCACTTCTAGCCATGAGTTAGTCTGTGCTGGAGGGAAGATGGACTTTCCTACTGGCACGAAAGATGTGTTCTAGGAATATGGTCACTCTCCATTTGACTGTCTCTGGCTACAGAGTCAAAATCATTTGAGTAACGAGGTCAGCTCAGCTTACGTCTTGCGCATACTTCCTGTCTTTACAGTTGAGATGCAAAATACTAAACATCTTTTTCGCTTTCATGAAAAAAAGCAAGTCATGAACTGAAGTTCAGACACCTTTCTATATCCTAAAGCCTATGCAGCATATTTTGTTTAGACCAGTAGTTAGTGTTGAATAGACAGGCGAAAAGTCCCTGTGCACAGAGGGTAAACCTGATGTGAGGTCTGGTTGAGGGGTGGGTGGACGGGGGAGGCAGGGAGGGATACTGTGTACACACTGTACAGAGCTGGTTTCTGGAATTCTCATTGTTTGGTACTCCCTGTGGGAGATATTATTAATTGCCTATTAGTACAGATAATTTTTTCCTTTCTTCTTGCTAACAGAACCCCAGGCGATAAATTACAATTAGTTGAAGCCAATTATGATCATTCTAGTACCCTTTTCCAGCTTCCCCCACTGCCAGCGATGGCCATGGGACCCAGTGTTGGCCAATGAGATATGAGGGGAAATCTGACAGAAGAGTTTCTGGGAAAAGGTCTGCTTCCCTGATAAAAAGTGGACAGACGGGGCTGATGCCATCCCTCCATCTTTCTTCATGACTTAGATGAAAACATGGAGCCTAAAGCAGGAGCAGCCTTCTTGGCCTCTGGAGTGGCAGGCATGAGGAGAAGGCCCAGAGCACTGTGCAGACAGCGGACCTGACCTTGTCAAGGCAGCTACCTGCCTCCTGCTGTTCTTCGTATGAGAAATGTAAACCCCTGTGGGCTCATTTGGTACGTTTATGTGAATTTAAAAAAGATGTCCATTATTGGTTGATATTATAGAATTAACATTAATTTCCTTAGAGGTGATAATGGTATTGTAGTTCTACAGGTGATATTTCTTTTTTTTTTTTTTTTTTTAAAGATTTT